AAAAATGTATAATTGTACCAAAAAAATAACAAAGTCCTTAGGTATAAATATATCAAAATATGTATAGGATGAAAATTATTAAAAATATAAATAAAGGTAGAGAAAGATTCATAAAGACAATCTTGTTGAGATGTAAATTCCCCTTATTTCATCCATAGACTCAAGGCACTTTCAATCAAAGGCCCAGCAAGCATTTTTGTATATACAAGTGCATTCTAAAATTTACATGAAAAGGTAAATAAACCATAATGGTGAAAAAAATTCTTTAAAAGAAAAAATTTGGAAGTCTCACATTACCCAATATCAAGGTTTACTACCTTAATCAAGGCAGTGTGGGATAGGCAAAAGAACAGGCACACCATTAGCATTAGAACACCATAGTAATAGTTATTGCAGGCAATATCCACTCAATGTTAACAACTGGATAAAACTAAATTAAGTGAGAAACTGTTTTTTTATGCTACCTCATATCTCCCAAAATATACTAATTCTTGTGGTGGTTTCAACATAGTCACATGTTCTTTCATATGCATCTCTCCAGGAAGCAAAGACTAATCTCTTTTCCCTTGAGGCTATAAACTTGTATATACTCATCCATTCATTTATAGTAATTCCAGAGAACAAATACTAACCTACAGTAGAAAACCTTAGCAGATATAGCTTAACAAAGCACTCCCTGACATAATATAAAGAGAAGGGCTCATCACTATGGTGGTATTTTCAAAAATTCATAACAACCTCAGGCTAATCATGAGAAAATATCAGACAAACTGAGATATCATCCACTATTTTTGACCATTACTCTTCAAAAGTATCAAGGTCATGAAAGAAAAAAAGGCAAGGATACTGTGGCAGACTGTTAGAGACTAAGACAAATGACAGCTAAATAAATGTAAAGTGGTATCTTAGTTCGAATTCTGGAATAGAAAAAAAATTAGTGGAAAACCTGGTGAAGTAAGAATAAAATTTAAATAATCTATCAATGATAATTTCTTAGTTTTGCTAATACTACATCATGATTATGTAAAATATTAACATTACAGGAAGCTAGGTGAAGGATTACAGGATTCTCTGCTACCTTTGGAACAGTTCTATGAATCTAAAAAATATTTCAAAATGAAAAGTTAAAAACATGAATCACCATTTGCTGCTACTTATGTAAATCAGATATTTTAAAATACTATGAAACTAAAATAAATTAAGACTTCTTATTTAACCAGAATCTGAATTTCAATTTTAAGCTCATCAACTCCACTCTTCACTTCATAAAAAATACATTTATGCCACTAATCTTTTGCATATGTACTGAGAATCCATATAAAAATTTCAATTGGGAAAAAAACCCTAAAAGTACAAAGGTTGGACCAAAAATATTTATGCTACCTCATGGTGACTGAGATAAATATGACTATTTTCCTGACCAAAATACAAAAGAATTGAGGGTCTCCATAATGATAAATTAAGTATTGCTGGGCATGATAGTGCATGCCTATAATTTCAGCAGCTCAGTAGGCTAAGGCAGGAAGATCACAAGTTCAAAGTAAGCCTCAGCAACTTGGTGAAGCCCTGAGCAACTTAGTGAGGCCATAAGCAATTAAGTGAATTCCTATCTGAAAATAAAAAAGAAAAAGAGTTGGGGATGTTGCTCAGCGGATCAGTGCTCGTGAGTTCAATCCCCAGTATAAAAGAAAAAAAAAAGAAAGAAAGAAATCTTAAAACCATGACAAAAATACTAAAAATTTGATAATATCTGTCTGTAATAGAGGTAATTAAAGGTATTAAAAAAATAAAATATTCTGGTAAAATCAGTTTGGAAGATTAATTTAAATTATTAAAGCAGGCTACCTTGCTGGCTACATAAGCAAGCAGGATATTTGAAGTACAACAGAGGATGACATCTGCTTTTATATCTTCATGTGTACCAACCAAAAATACCACATTACCTCCACTCTATCAGAACTTTTCTTATGGAGCTTTCCTTACGTAATATTAGAATTGAACAACAATTGGAAAAGAAAGGAAAATAAAGAGGCATTAAAGGTGAGGAGAATATTCTTGAAAGATAAGGAAAAAAAAAAGTTTCTTGAGGGGAAAAATTAGAACTCCAGGACGACAACGCAAGGATATAAAGAGAATGTAAAAAAAGGAAGTGTGAAACAGCCTGGGCTCTACTCTTGGGCTTTAAGTGTTGTTCTGAACTTCTATAATCAGGAAACAAGATGTGTAATTGTACTAAGTGTATTTTCTGGCATATAGTAAGTGCTTTACAAATACTATTAGCAGATAGATGATTGCTGAGAAGGAAAAAAAAAAGGAACAATAATGAAGAATAGAAGGAAAGACAGTCCAGCAGGCAATATTTTTTAGTAATAGCTTTGACATTATTATAGCTTTAACTTTCTAATAAATATGAACCCAAAATACTGCCATGATTCTAAATTACACACATCTTCACTTAAAGAGCTGTTATTGAGGGGAAATCCTCTGACCTTTTGATAAGAACTGAGAAAAACTGTCTCTTTACACACATTTTTATTAAACAAGTAAGGCTGGTAGAGGAACATTTTTTTATTTAATGCATAAACATATAAGTCCCTTTATTAGAGAAATTATACATATTGGTGAATATGGTCAATGGTCACACCTATGTGTTAATTATTTAAAAATCAGAACCAATAATTAGGAATAGATTCTATGTTCTCTTCATTACATTGTGAAGTGTCTTGTGTAGTCATATTCTATTGTTGGAATGACAGCTTGTACAAATTTCAAAAAAATTAGAAGATACCTGAAGGCCTTTAGCTAAGGAAAATAAGACTTGTAAATGGTTTATGTTTTAAACCCATATTGTAATTATCCATTTTATTAAGCAATAGTTCCTTAGAAAAAAATGACAAAATCTTTTTCAGTTTCATTAAAGATAATTAATCACAGAACTTTAAGACTGCCTGACTACCTATTCCAATATTTGAATTTAAACTTCTTAATGCATAGAAGTTCACATAGGTCCCTTTGATATAAAAATAAGGACAAAACCCATGTTTAAATAAGTATAAAATTTATTCATTTTCTTTATCCCTTTATAGCTTATAAATGTGCTAGAACTTCTATATTGATCTATATTTAATGAAATCTTGCAATTTTTTTAAACAAATGTTCTATTACACTAGAAAACACTGTGAGTTAAGGTTTATTGGAGAAATAATGACTCTGTAATGAATTACACAGAGTATTACAAGTTGCTACCTAGCCTCCAATATAGAGATGAATGAGAAAATTATATGCAACAAGAAAGTTCTTGGTTTATTTCAATGTCAGATATGCCCCAAGTTTCTCTGAGGGACTTAAGCTTTATTATCAACGTTTAAAGTTATCTGCACTTCATGATACTCATGACCCCTCAGTCTACATCTAACACTGAGTGCTCTGAACTAACCACTTAAACAGCAACCCAAAAACAAACTAATTCAAGATATATGGCATCTAAATTGTTGAATCTGAATATTTCTATGACTATAGATACACGTATCTCAGAATCCAACAATGTATTGGGAAACTGACTTTCATTTAAAGCTCTTGGCAACTCCAGAGAACCACAGTAAAATACTAGATAGATAATTTTCACTGGAGAAAAAGAAAATAGTATTTTTTAAAATACCTAAAGCACTTCTTGTACTTTAATTTTTAATTAACCAAATTGTTTTAAAGTTGAATTCTTTACTTCAGGGAGACTTCAAATTGATACAACCTAACTTTACTCTTACATGATGGGAAAGCATATTTTTGGTAACATGTTAAATTGGAAATATATTTAAAGAAAAGATATTTATGTTATTCTAAATTAGCAGGTTACCTGTGTAACAAGGCAAAGCTAACCAATGCACAGGGACATGTTCTACCCAACGAAAATGGTGTACCACAATATAACATACCCTAAATAAATCAGACTCCCATTAGGACTTTCAGACATGAGAAGCCAAAAAAAGTTATAAGTACTAAGTCATAAAGGTTTTTGTCACTACATTTCCCAAAAATGAAAAAAAAAAATCCTACAACCCATTTTGCCATCAATCGCATGCACAGGAAAGGATACATATGAACACCAAGCTCTCCCCCTCCTTCTGCAACAGTTTCAATGATTTTCTTCATCACTTCAGCATGCCTGAAAGCAAAAGCAAATCTTATTAGTGTAGATGAAATAGATGAAAACAGGAAAAACACACATCCATTTGTAAAGAAACCTGTTGTTGGTGAATTTTTTAACATGTAATAGTCATAAAATATTCCCCCCTTTAATCTTCACTAGAGTGTTGGGTTCAATTTTATACTACACATTCATAGAAAGATGCATTGTCAATAATGCAAATCATAATGATAAGTAATTTTGAGTTCATAACAGATCTTCCAAGCTACAAAGAGGAAGATCACAAAGATCTCTTCTATACGGAAATACTTTAACAGAACAAAAAAGTTCTTAATGTATTAAACAAGAGGTTTTCTTCCTTTCTTTCACATATTTAAGTGCAAGAATATTTCTAAAGAATCTAAAAAGTTTATTTACTTATGAATTTTTCTTTTTCTATATTTATAGGTTCCCAAATAATAATCCTATGAAATATACATACACTCTCTATATATACAGACCTGCATGGGTGAACAGAACACATGGGAGGTGGTGGGAGATGAGGGTGATTTTCAATGGTCACTGTTTTCTTCACATGATCTTGACTGATGTCTTCATACATGTGCTCAACTGTTAAAGGCTGCCGTTGCTGAAATCGTAAAAAATGCTTTGAAAGTACTCTTTAAAAGCTTTCATATCTTTAATATACTTATTCTTCCATCTAACTTTAACTACAATTTAGAATTGCAGATTATTTAGAATTGGGGTAAAGTTTACAACATTTAGATCAAGGCAGGGAGCAGAAAGGGAGCCTATATATATCCAGGCTATCCAATATCAGTCACCACCTAATGCCGAAAAGATTCCACAAAAAGGCAAGTATGGAGGCTGGGGTTGTGGCTTAGCAGTAGAGCACTCGCCTAGCATGTGCAAGGCCCTGGGTTCAATCCCCAGCACCACATAAAAATAAAATAAAGATATTATATCCAACTACAAGTAAAAAAAAAAAAAATTTTTTAAAGGGCTGGGATGTAGAGCATACCTGGTTTCAATTTCTAGTATCCTACACCCATTAAAAAAAAATATATATATATATATATATATATATATGTATTTTTAAAAAAGGCAAGAATGTGGCTGCCAAAACATTTTAAAATTCAATTCATTTCTCAGGGCTATTGTTTTATTTTCTTGTTTCTTATTTACAGTCATAGGAATAATAGGTTAAACAAGGTGAGCCAGGCATGGTGGTGCACACCTGTAATCCCAGTGACTTAGGAGGCTGAGGACAGAGGATGGCAAATTTGAAGCCAATCTCAGCAACATAAGAGACCCTGTCTCAAAAAAATAAAGGAAGACTGACTGGGGATGCAGTTCAGTGGTAAAGAGACCCTGGGTTCAATCCCCAATACCAAAAAAGCAACAACAAAAAGTTAATTTTACTTTAATTACTCTTTCATTTAATTCCATTAAGCACATGAATTTAAATGGTCTTAAGGACAAATTCATGTGACATGATCAGTTTGCAAATACTTAAACATCCAACAGATATAATCCCAAACAAAAGTTAAGAAAATATACCCAGTTGAATTTCCCTCACATTTTGAAGAGATAAGCTTAGAGGCAAAGGAATATGCTTATAACAGATCATTTGTGTTTAATTAGCATTAGTGTCACATTGAATAATTCAGTTTATTCAAAATAAAAAACAAGTTCAACATCAACCACAAAACTGTAAAATAAATGATTTCTAAAATTTAAAAGATCATATAACCAAGTACTTAACTAAGGAATTAAACCCAACAACTTAAAATATTTATACTGAAATACATTTTTCTTTATTTTTACCTCATCATAGCCAAACAACCATAATCGTGGTGTCTGGTAATATTTATCGTAAGTGATGTACAGGTCATAAGTTCTGGTTTGCAAAATAGCATCTTCACCTCCAGCATCAGTTTTAGCTTTACAAGCTTCTACTATTTTCCTTGTGTCTAGGGTAGCCTGGCACATAATAGAGAAAAATTGACAGCCATTATATTAGTATGAATGTGACATTCTAGAAAAATCTATTTTTTCCATTCTATATCATTTTTTCCTTAAAAGTAAATGAACTTAAAATTCATGGATAAAATTTCGTGTTATAAATATTTAAAAATTTCTTTGAAAGAGAAATATGTCATTAACAATACTATTAATCCTCAAGTATATTCTTTAAAAATTAACTGAGAAAACAATTTACAAACCTCATCTGTTTCCAATAATCCACTCTCTTCGTATTCTGTTATAAAAATAAAAGATGAATCAAGTTCAAGAGTCATTAAATTTTGTTTATACATATTATATATTAAATATTACTTCAGAGTATCACTCAAAAACTGGGGTTTGCTTGTTTTTAACTGAAGATAATGAAGCAATATAAATGAGTTAATTCTGTATTTCCAAACCAGCAGATACCTTGCATGACAAAAGCTCAGAAAAAGTCAGCATATTTAAGGCCTGGTCTGTGCTGAAGTCTATTAGAAATGTCAACCGGCATAATAATACTAAAGGGTTCTTGGTGACTCCTTGGTAAAGGCCATTGTATACAGCAACCCCTTCCCTCATATCTGAAGGTGATATGCTTCAAGAATCTCAGTGGATGCCTGAAACTAGATAGTATTAAACTCTATAATTTGATACCTCCTCTGTCTCAAAGCAGGTATCCCGCATGTGGCTTTAACTTTTGCAGTCTGAGGAGCATCAGCCTAACTAAGAGGAACTTTTGGTTTTTCACAATTTCACAGAGAGATTCTTACTCCAGGTCTTTGCAACCTCAGTATAAGATTTTTTTTTCTTTCAATTACTGTCAAGAACCTCCACTTTTTCACTTAGAGAACACATTCAAGAGCTTTGTAATGTTTTGAACAACTAATAATAAAAAAATTTTAAAAAACCAAATATTTGTGCCCTTAATCAAATTATGATATGTGCATGTGTAAATATGGCATAATGAATCCAATTATTATGTATAATTATAAGGCACTAATAAACGTATTTTAAAAAAAAAGAGAGAACACATTCTACAACTTGTCTTTGATATCTGAATTGCCACCATTGCTACTTTTGTGTTTTGGGATCATTTTTTAGTAAAATAAGGGTCACTTGAGCACAAGTAAGGTGATACTGCAACAGTTGATCTGATAAATGAGATGGCTACTAAGTGACTAAAGGGCAAGAAACATGGATACATTAAACAAATGGATAATTCTTGTCAAGGATGGAACACAGTGGGACGGCATGAGATTTCATCATATTACTAAGAATGGCATGCAATTTAAAACTTATGACTTCTATTTCTGGAATTTTCCAATAATATTTTCAGACTGCAGCTAACCTTGGATAACTGAAACAACAAGAAAGCAAAATGACAGATAAGGGGGGATGACTATAACTACATAAAATATGCTCATTATATTATCAGTGATTTCCACTTTTCTACATTCAATAGTAATGTTGAATGTTGAACTCTTAGGAATATCTGACATGATTTATTCTCTCCTTGGAATACTTTCTTTCCTTGGTTCTTAAGATATAATATTTTCTTGGCTTTCTTCACACCTCACTGGCTGCTCTTTTAATACGTTCTTCACATATCACAAATGATATTTGAGGCTGCAATTAGAAATTCTGGATACAAATACAATGGTAGGGCAGTAACTAACAGTTCAATTCTTAGATCTTGTCTCTTCTCTACCCACATTTACTCCAGTGATGAATTTATTAGTTTTGATGGCTTCAAATACTGATGAATCCCACATGTACTTCTTTAAACATGGATATATAACTGTTTATGATTCTACTGAATGATTAATGGGCACCCTAAGTATCATAAGTCTAAAACTGACACTCCCTCTCCAAAGTTAATCATTCTGAATCCCCACCCCTGCCAGCCACCCTCAGTCAATGGAATCTTTCCAGACACTCAAGTCAAAGACCATGGAGTCATACTTGACTACTCTGCCTTTTATATCCTACGCTCAATCTAGTAGCAAATCCCATTGGCCCTACCCTCAAAATATGTCCAGAATTCTATTGTTTCTTATCACTACCAATATTATAACTGTAGTCCAAAACATTATTATTTATTGCCAAGATTATCAAAATACATCCTAATTGTTGTCTCTTTTCCCCTTCAACATGTTCTCATTGCAGTTACAGTGAATCTGTTAAAATATTAAATTGTTAGAAAAATGGCTGCTTGTCTTAGTCTTAGTTAGGACCTTGCATAATCTGGGCCTGTTTATCTCCCTGAGTCCACTCTTTACTACTCTTCTCTCTCTGGACAGAGAAAACTCCTTACAATATTATATGAAATATTGTAAGTCACACATATTATCACCTCAGGGCTTTTGCACTCTTTCCCAGATAACCAAATAGATTGTTTACTCACTTCCTACCACATTTTACTCAAATGGCATACTCTCAATAGGGTTTTCCTTGAACAATTTACTTAAAAAAGTTGCCCCCCAAAAAAAGTATGCCCTTTCCTCATTTTCTCCTTATCACTGATATAAATCTAACACATTATGTATTTTATCTATTTTCATATCCCCCGATTAGAATCTTTCCAGACACTCAAGTGTTATAAGTTTAAAGAGATCATGTCTATTGTTTTTCTGCAGCACCAAGAACCATCCCTAACACACAGATACTATACTGCTCAATAAACATTTGTCGACTAAATGAGTAAAAATTACTTTTTGTATTCATACCATCAATATTGTTTATGAACAAAATTCCACATTAGTAGTTCTTTAACTCTATCTAAGGAAAATGTAATAAACAATACTATAAGGCTGTCAAATATTTAAGGGAGTCCCATAGCTTGTACTTTAAAAACAGTGGTTTCCTCTCTACCACCACAACCCCATCCCAGACTGGACAGAAACTGAACCCAGAAAAAGTAATTGTGCAAGGAAAGGGTAAATTCAGTTTTTATCAGCTGTTGAGACATCCAACTGGAAATAAAAACAACCAAACAGTTTGAAGTTGTGAGATCTAGGTTGAAGGTTTAAATATGGGAGTTCAGAGCATAGAAATTTTATATGAAGTTTCTGTGACCAAACTCATGAATTTCAGGGACAATAGTTTGGTGTGGAAATAAGGAACAGAATTGCACGAAAATTTAGGAACAAATACCCAGCTAGATTTTTATGAATACTTGAAAGCAATTTGGGAAAAAAACCTGAAAAGTACTTATAGTTCAGTAAAAACTACTTGCCTTTATGGTGTTTCAACTCTGACACCATCTTCTATTTTTACATGTTACAATATACAACTAACTAGATTTTATGTATTTTGGGGATGTAGCTGCCTTATAGACTTCAATGCCTGCCTCCCCTGCTTTTTCATATTCTTCCTTTTTCTAACTTTTAATGCATCTCTTGTAACAATGATTCTCTAATGCAATGATTCTTAACTGGTAACCCCAAGAGGACATTTCAGAATTTTAAGGAACTGTGAGGGCATTGTGTGTGGCCAAAAAGGCTTCAGTAAGAATTCCTATTTTGCCAGGCCTGGTGGCACACACCTGGAGTCTCAATTCTCAGGTGGCTGAGGCAGGAGGATCCTTTGAGCCCAGGAGTTCAAGACAAACCCAGGCAACATAGCAAGATCCCTTACTCAGAAAAAAAAAAAAAAATCACTATCTTAATGTTTTAATTAAAAGATGCTATTAAAAAAGGAGAAATAGAATGGGTGTGGTGGAGCATGCTTGTAATTCTAGCAGCTCAGGAGGCTGCAGCAGGAGGACTGCCAAGTTCAAAGCCAGCCTCAGCAACTTAGTGAAGATCTAAACAACTCAGTGAGACCCTTTCTCAAAATAAAAAAATACAAAATGAGATGGAGATGTGACTCAGTGCTTAGTCACCTATAGGTTCAATCCCTAGTACCAAAACAACAACAACAACAACAAAGGAGAAACAAAATACAAAGTTGCTCTGAACCAATTTTAAAAAACTAGTATTTTGCAGCTACATCCAGCATTAAAGATTTATGACCTGACATTTATTCCAGCAGAAATAATGCTGTCAAGACTATGTAAGAGTCTAAGATCAAAGGAAGTTTTATATTGATGAAATTTAAACAAAATATTCCCTGGCTGCTAAATGTCAAAACTTAAAATTCAAAGGGATAGAATTTTTTTTTAAAGTCACATATTTTTCACATTAAATTTCAAGGAAGAATGTGGGCTATCTCAAGGGAGAGATGTCTTTGAGGGTAGAGTATAAAAAAATACATATTTAAGAGAAAATGCCAGCCATCTGGAGAGTGAGAAGCTTCTGGAGTAAAACAGGAACTCACATTCAAGTGAAAATGTGGGCCATCTCCAGAAGGAGAGACACAGCTTAGAGTATAAAATTTTTAATCCACAGAAATTATAAATATTGTAGAATCAGTATTTTAGTATGATTAAAGCAAATCTAGAGCACAAATACCTTCCATGTCTGCAGCTTCTCCTTCATCTTCCTCTTCTTCCTCTTCACAAAGCACTGAGCAATCTTGGAGTTTTATACTGTCCTTTGAAATTAATTACATTTGTTTTTTTGTTTGTTTATTTATTTATTTATTTTGCAGTGCTGAGGATCAAACCAAGAGCCTTAACCATTCTAGGCAAGTGTTCTACCACTGAGTTACACCCCTATTCAAAGTTAATTTTATTTAAAGTTACCTAAATAAGTTCATTAGTTCAAACATTGAACAATCATACTAGCACAGTGGTAACTAACCACTGTGAAAATAAGAAAGATAAAGCAGTTCTTATCCTCAAGAAATTCAAACACCAGGGGTGGAGATGACAATCCATAAGTCAATCATGGAAAGTAATGTGCTAAGTGTTGTGACTGAATAATATTCAAAGGTATTT